GGTTCGGTAGTGAAATGAATTCTAGCTCGGGGGTGGGGCGTCCTGCAAGTCATACCCAAGGAGGAAAAGACAAAGGCAAAGCTGTAAGTGTTCGGGGTTTGGGGTTCGTTCTTTTCTTTCCTTTTTTTTTTAATTTTTTTTTTTTTTTAACCAGCGCTCTGGTGGCATTGGGCAGGCGCAGCGAAATGACTCAGCAGCAGCGCCTCTGCTCGGATTTTTACTTGTTGAAACTTCACTTTGGAAAGCCAGATGGTAATTTGCCTTTAATTAGGTGACAAGTTGAATTGTGCTAACGGGAATGTTACAAATAACTTCCGGTTAAACATAAGCAACCTGTGGTTTTACCCTTCTGTTAGAGAGTCACCTTCTGAAGTGATTTTCCTGACGATTTGGATTTAGAGTTTCTATTGCTAGGTCGATTTTTTTGAGTAGTACCAAAAAGGTGATGTTTATCGTGACAGCACAGTTCTCTGTTTTCCAAAGTTTTCAGGCATTTGAGTTGTTTCTAATTTCATACCGGTGAGAAACAGGTAGTGCTCTATAGTGTTAATAACCACGTTTTTTATGCAGCTGAAACGCTCGGCTGAATTTATACCAAATGCTTGATGTCCTGACCAAAGTCTGTGAGAGCTGTGGATGCAGTGTATTTCTGTCGAGGGACAACTTCCCAGAAATATATTTTTTTAAGTACGTAAAAAAATCTGCTTTCAGCAAGTCTTAGCTATGGCCTGACTTGCTGGTTGTTCAGAGCATTTTCCTTCGGGTGCTGAGCTGACATGTTCTAAAGCATCATCTGCAATGCAGGATGACAGGATTAAAGCTTCTGCAGGGAATCACGTTTGTTCCTGACTGAACGAGGAAATGGTATAACAAAAAGTAAAAGCAAGAAGAAAGGCAGTAACCATGAATAATAATGTATAAATGCAGGCCTCATTCATCGCGCCTGGGCAAGGGGGAGACCACTAACAATGCTCTTAGTCACAGGGATTGCTGGCTATCTGGGATTCTTTGTGGGGCAGAAACAAGGAAAAACAACAGAAAAACCCTGCCAAGTACCACAAGTGCTGCAATTGAGACTTCTACTGCCAGTAGTAAGACACTGCAGAACTGAGCAAAATACTGCCTTGAGCTTTTTAATCTCTGTTGTCATCATCCCACTTCACCTTTCCAACTGTTAATTTACAGGCTCACATGAAAGCTCAAAAAGCAAGTAAAGAACAGCAGTTGGATGTAATGAACAAACATTACAAACAGCTTGAGAGTCGCCTGGATGAAATGCTCTCTAGGATTGCTAAGGAAACTGAGGAAATCAAGGACTTGGAGCAACAGCTCACCGATGGTAAGTCTTCTTTCTGCCTTATAGTGTTTCTTGTACCTAGGGCAACATGACAATTAAATTGGAGATTCAGTTTTGTTTATTGTGCTTGAATGAAATACACAATGTGTAGCAAAAGGTTTAAAAATATCCTTTACTGATCTTTTTTAGAGACTTTGGATAAATTTAAAAAATATTTTTTAGTATGTTCGCCTCGCTTGTACGTGGTTGGAGAAGGTAGTTTGCAGGGTGAGAAAATAATATGAATTGGAATCCATATGAACATGAAAACTGAAAGTTGATTTAGGTGTAAAGGTAGCAAAGGTGGAGGGCAGGTGTGCACAAAGAACGAGAGTTTCTTTTTAACTCTTCCAGTGATCAGGTTATTATGGTAACAGGAGAACTGCTAGCCTTCAAAACACAGCACTGGCAGCTTCTGGTTGAGCTCTAGTTACTTGTTACTACATAATCCAATAGGTGAACACCCTGAGGAAGATTCAGAAAGGCAGTTTTGTTTGTTTTGTACGTTAGTGTGGTTTCCTAACCATCTCACATTTGTTTTGCAATCCTGCAGGTCAGATAGCCACAAACGAAGCACTGAAAAGGGATTTAGAAAGTATTATCGTTGGATTACAGGAATACCTGGAAAGCGTTAAGTGTCAGGCAAAACGGGCCAATGATGAATGTAAGGAGTTGCAGAAGGATAAAGAATCTTTGCTGCAAAGACTGGCAGATCTCGACGAGGAAAAAAACAACCTGGAAATAGTTGCCATGGATGCAGAAAATATGAGAAAAGTAAGGCTTATTATTATGTTTCTTCCCAAATTCAAGACCTAAGGAAAAAAAAAAAAGCTGAATAGCAAAGCACAGTTTCTTGGATAAAATAATTTTTCAATATGGTAACTTCAGGTGGATTTTCCCACACACGTTAAGAACAGAATTTGGCCTTTAGAACCAGTTGCAAGAGACGTACAGTAAATTGGTACGTTTGGAAGATGTCTCAGAAATACAGGCTTTACTTTTAAGACACGACTCAAAATGGATTGGCAGTTGATATCCCAGGGAATTGCATTCGTGAAAACTGTCTGGACACTACCCGAGGCTGCGCGAATTAAGAGCTTTGATCTGTCTTGTCAGCCAGCTGGAGAGCTGCTTTACTATCCTCGTAAGCTTTGTGTAAACCTCAATACCTAGAACAACTGTGCATCTCTTCAAGCTACACCTTTCTAACCTGAGGGTAGATTTTTGTAGTCTGTCACAGCAGCATCATTGACCTGACCTTTGTATGAGCAGTGCCACTCAGCTTTAAATTTTAATATTTAGTGATTAGGGTTAGCGTCTCTATTTGGATCTACCTGTTGTCATGTTGATGATGAGTTCCCGAGTAACGGAGGGAGAGAGGCAATGTACTCTAGGAAATCCTGGCTCTCCTTTATACATGTTTCTAAAATAAGTATAAAATTTCAGGAAATTACAATGCTAGAAGGTGCACTCCAAGAGCAACAAGAAATAAATGAATCGCTCAGAAATACTCAAGGGGACGTTAGCGCCTATGAGGCTGAACTGGAAGCCCAACTAAGAGACAGAGATGCTGAAGCCAACCAGCATAAAGAAGAATTGGAAAGACTGAAACAACTTAGCCAGGTGAGAGCCAGGCTCTTCTGTTGCCGAAGCATTTTATCAGTGTTATTAAAATTCCCAGGACAAGTCACGATGGTGATGATTTTTTTAGGAAATATACCTGTTAAGTATATGGTTGGGGTTTTTTAGGAGGTGTTGTCATACAGGTACCGTTTTAAGAAATACAGCCGTTGCGCATTTGGGTGACAGGTTGGGAGTGAGGATGTTAATCTGAAGGTTTTCTGTGTTTGTAGATGGAACTGTCAGCCCTGCAAGCTGAGCTTGAGAAAGAAAGGCAAGCGTTAGAGAATGCTCTGACCAAAGCACAACTAGCAGAAGAGAAGGAACAACAAAATTATAAGCTCCTTTCCCAGTTCAAACAATTGCAGGTAAGTATTTGTTGCCTTAAAAAAACCAAAAAGTAATTTTCTCCACTCCCCCAAGGGGAAAGGAATAAGAATTTTAAACAATTCTGCATGAATCTTGTTTTGAAGAATTTAAGACTTTTCCTGAGTAAGTTTCTTGTGCAGAGGCCCTGCACCACAGTCTTTTTTCTGTCTTAGATATTTAGATTGACCTTTGAAATAATTTCAGAGCTGCTCAGCTGTATTGCAGAGGGTATAGGTAAATGGGTATATGTATCTTAATTTCCCTTCATCCAGTACATGTCAGGAAGAAAACTGTCTGGAAAATATGGCTGGCAAAGGAACCCCCTGGGACACTGTTTGCAGTTGTTCCATCTTCTGTTACGGATAGAGAGTGTGACGGGCTTCTGCATGTCACTGGGCTTTGCTTATGGAAGGACAGCACTGCCTTAGGTTAAGGAAAGGATAAGATCATTTTTGAACTGGCACTTCAATACTTCTCAGCTCAAAGGAAACTGAAAGGCAAAGATGGTTTGGGATGTTCTTGCTTTGTTATTGATACTGGTTTGGGCCACAATGAAAAAATGTTTGGTATCTTTTTTTTTTAAAATACAAAGAAAAAAACCACATCTAAATATTTAAAAAATCCTAGCTTTTCTAATTTGTGCATGTTTGCTTATGGTTATATGGGTGTGGTTTTGTCTTTTTTTTTTTTTTAGGGAGACAATAATCTCCTGAAACAACAGCTTAAAAATCTTCAGAATCAGCTAAACCATGCTGTCGGTAACCTAATTCATCCTGAAGAAGTCTTAGCTCGTCTGAATGAACTCAAGCAAAAGCTTCAGACAGGAGCTGGAGAGATTAAGTGAGTAAAACAAAAATACAGTGTTAGATTTAGATTTGTACAGGTGAAAGCAGGTAGTACCTGAGAGCAGCAATGAACCTGTGCTGTGCCCTCCCGAGCGCAACCTGGGGCAGCTCAGACACCAACCTGTGTTAACAGAACATCACCTGAGCTCAGTAATTACAGTGCTGAGGGGAACATGCAGGCCTCTTGGGTTTCACTACACCACAAGGGATAGGGCAAATGTTTTTTCCTGCTTTGCCAGCCGCAAAGAATGGTAATAAACAAAGGCAGCTGCTGGAAACAGAGCCAGGGCGGAGGTTTGGCTGCGGGATGCAATAGGTTCTGTGCTGCACCTGAATTCGTTCACGCTGGATGTCTTAAACTTGCATAATTGTATGAGGCTTCATTATTTCAGTACTTGGTATTGTGATTTAAAAATCACTTTTTTTTTTTTCCCCCCCTGTTTTGGAATCTGGATTGTTTCTCTTCCAGATGTCAGAATTCAGCTGATGTTTTAGGGAAAAGCCTTGCAAATCTGCAGAAGGAATTAAATGACATCCTTGCTGATGCTCAGAGGGAAAAAGAGAAAGCGTGGGCTAGACAGAGCCAACTGCAGGAAGAAATGGTATCCCAGCAGGAAAAACTGGAAGAAGTACAGCAGAAATACAGACAGGCACGTATCAGAACAACAAAAACAAGTGTAAGACAATTTGAGCTTTGTCTAAAAATTGGAACTTCCAGCTGAAGGATCAGGTTTCACTACAGATGTAGCTTTGCTGCCCTCCGTCTTTCAGAAGAGTAATTTTCTCCTGAAGGCAGACAAATTGAACGCATTCACTTGTCAGGAACAAGTTGACAACTCGCATCAGAGCAGGATTCTTTTCCTTGTGATTAGAACAGGAGTACTAACTGTCATTAGATCTTTGGTTTGCCTGTTGTGCATAAATGCATGTTGTGTAGTCATGTTCATTGTGAAGAAACTGCAAGTAGGCAAAAGCTTCCAAAGAGGGGAAAACTGTGCTGTGTGTCCTGTGAAATTCTGTTTAAAAAAGTGAAATACATTCACCATTCTTGCTTTCTTTCGCTAACAAATTGGATATTTGACAGAACATGTGCTCCTCTGTAGCCTTTTATTGGCATTGTTCACCATTCTTGCTTTCTTTCGCTAAGAAATTGGATATTTGACAGAGCATGTGCTCCTCTGTAGCCTTTTATTGGCATTTATTATAAAAAGCTTGCAAAAAAATGCTGCTTGGAAGAGGGTTTAATGTGCGTTAAAAGCTCCACAAGCAATCTCTAATTGTAGCTGTATAATAACAAGAAGAGACCCATTTTCTTGACTTCATGTAACAGTGGAGTCTGATTTTGTTTTAGCTGACAGTCATATGATTTTTGCCTGATTATTTGGTGAATTAGAATTTAGACTCAAGAAGCAAAAAAGAGTTTAATTATAGGTAGAAAAATATAGTCAGTAACCTCCTTGAAAGATCACTGTACGCAGCACTACCAAAATAACTTGGGCACTTACTTTAAATTATAATAGTTATGGTGGCAAAGCAGTTGTTTTCCTTTGTCTGCTGGTTCAGTGTGGTTCCCAAAATGTTGTTTCTTTAAGTCCTTAGAATAGGGTGGCTTTTGGTTGGGAAAAAAAATATCTATTTCTGGCTACTCATTCTAACTTATTTCACTTATAGGTTAAAGCTGAAAACAGGCAGAATAAAAACAAGGTACATCGGTTAGAGAATGAAATCCAAGATTTACATGAAAAAATAAAGAGCATGGAAGAAATTCAGGGCCTTGCTGATCAACAGCTCCAAGAGGCCGATGAAGAGAAAGAGACTATTCTTGCTCAGCTGGAAGATTTAGAGAAAAGGGTAGGAATGAGTAAGGAGAAGTCTGCATGCTGCATGTGCTTGTGCAAAGAAGATTCCAAAACTTCAAATGCTGGAAGGAGCAGAAATTAAATACAGCGTCTTTCATTCCCTAAATTGTATTGGTTGTCCTTGCTTTAGTTTTTTGTGTTTTTTTTTAAACTATTACTTCTGTGCATGCAATAGAAAATGGGATATTCATGGGGAAAAAACTCGTACCAACAGTCTCTTCCGTGCTGCTTTTTACTTAAAATTTACAAAACCTATTGCCTTCCTGATTTCAGAAAAAAATAGAAGATGCGAGAGCACAGATGCAATTTGTTGGTCTAGATAAAGAACTGAAGGAATTAAAGAGAGCAGTCATCACTTCAGATAAACTGGCAGCCACCGAGCTCTCCATTGCTAAAAATCAGCTAAAGGCTCTTCATGGCACTGTGCTTAGAATCAATCAGGAGCGAGCTGAGGTAAGTCAACACTGACAATTAATTCTGGAATTCCAGAACAGACAAGTGCTGACACTTCTTAGTCAGCTTTTCACGAAGCTGTGTGAGACATCTGCAAGCTCGTGAAGTATTCTTGCAAACTGAAGCTCCAACTAAAATTTTAATTTTAGGAGATAGAGGAAGCCAAAGAGTTCTGTGCTGAGGCAGCTCGCGCAGCCCGGGATCTTGCCAGAGCAGAAGCAGAAATAGAATTGTTACAGCAGCTCCTCAAAGAGCAGGAAGAACAAGTAGGTTGGGGTGCTGTTTGCTCTGTGTTACATGAGGAGGATAAAATGCTTGGATATATTTGTTCAGTGAGTTTCTGAAAATGCCGTATCTAGAGGTGTCCGCTCCGCCCTTTTCCCTCAAGTTTTTCGAGTCATGACATCTGCCCTGTCTTCTGTTCTTCCCTGCCAAAGAGCAACACGACAATCTCGGCAGCTGACCTTTAATTAAAACTATCACCTGGTCACTTAAATGCCTTTAAGTGACTCTGTCTGTAAGCCTCGGTCACAGCAGGGGATGGGAAGACAAATTCTGTTGCACAGGTGTCACACACATGTTTATAGGGATGGACGGGCATGTTGAAAAACAGTTTTAGCGCAACATAGACTGAAGCCCTTTGCTTTGATGTAAACTATTTTAAACAGTTTCAGCATGAAATGGAGAAGGCCGATGAGAAGATGGTTGCATCAAGCTCTCAGAAATTTGAAATGGATAAATTAAAAGAAACTATGGAGCAACAAAAAGCAGAAATTGACCGTTTAAGATGGTTGTTGGGTAACATCGAGACAGGTGGGTTCTCTTGTCTCTCCATTTCTTGTGGACAAACGTGGATGCACAAGACTATCCCTTCTTCTCCATATTTTTTGGATATTATTTCAGATTAACAGGATAACCATGATGGAAGAGCTGAATGCTGCAGCATTTATGACATAATTATTTGCCTTATAACAATAAAACTGTAATTAATTTACAGGTAGCAAAGATGAAATCGACAACTTACAAGACGAAATTGCTGCACTGAAAAACGTGCTTTCATACCAGAACGATTACATCACCAGTATAGCGGATCCGCTGAAAAGAAGGGGATACTGGTATTACGTGCCAGCATCACAGGTCAGAAATAAAAATCCTCTTCTGTGGAAAGTCATTTCCTATGGGAAAGTCCATTACAAACTTGGGAGAAGCTTCAGAAGAAATACTGGCTGGTGTCAGAGAGATACTGGAACAACACACACGCAGATGTTCCCTGATAAAGGCTCTTGCTGTGATAACGGGAATCTGGTGTGTGGAGAATTTGGAGAGAACTATTCAGAATGCAGTACTGTAAAATCGTTTAGGTAAAGGTTAAAAGGGAGACACTAGATAAACATTTCTTGCATTTGTCTGATTTTAAGAGAAGTATTTTTAAAATATACGTAATGTTCTCTTTTAAAGCAGCATGATGCTTGGAAGTGAGAGAAAGCAGAGTATGTATAGCCTGGTCTTGAAAAATCAGTGCTTTAGAGTGTTTACACCAAATAATTTTACATTATTTGTTATTTCTAGATTAATGCATACTGTTGTGGTGTTTCTTTTTTTTTTTTTTTTTAGGCTTCAACTCCTGCTTCCTGCAGCACAAAAGATTCTGGTGTTTGTTTGCTGTGTTCTGGCCCATCCCCACCCAGAAGAGGGTGTGGGCAGGGCAGGCAGGAAGACTCGCCCAGCCAAGGAGGATGCTGGGTTTATTCACCAGTCAGAAATAGGTTGTACAGAACGAATTCTGGTAAAGGTAAGTCCGTCTTGGTAAAGGTAAGGGCACTTGAAGAATATCTCTTACTGAAAAAGTGCTTAATTTTATATATATTTTTTAATAAAGATGGAAGAGTGAAAGAAGACGGTGAAGGCAATGAAGAAACTCATGTTCCCGAAGACCCTCCCTTTGTGCCGCCAGCTGGCACAGTGATTTACACCGTCATTCACGACGGTGC